AACTGGTGTTATGGTGCACATAAGTTATTCTGCAGCACAATACTACTGGTGGATTATGTGACTATATGTTATTTGTTGTAAGAATAACAATAAGGTTGCAGTGTATTTATTGAAATAACCTCAGAACTGGGGGAAATTACTTTCCCTGCTAGGACAGCTTTATGTTTCATGCTCATCTTGACTATTTCTTTTCATTGCTAGGTTTCTGAGAAGATTATTCCACAGCTGACAGGGGTTTCAAAACTCTAATTGGGAGGAATAAAACTAGAGAACAAGTGACTCCATTTAAATGTAGTATAGATTTTTTTTCTCTTCATTTCTCATGGTAAATGTTCTCTTCCAATAAAAAGGGTTCTTCTGGACTTGAATTGTTTCTTTGTTCTCAATATATCAGATACTTAAATTTCATAATGTAAATAACTGCTACTTGATAGTGTTGATAACTGAGTTTTTAAATTTTTATTGCATACACTTTTGTCTATTTTTAAATTTATTTTTAATAGCAACCAGATGAGCAAACAGAGGCTTATAGACTTACCCACAATCCAAGGGAGTGACCTCTGAGCTGTGGGAGTGGTTCAGATATCTCCCATTGAACCACTACCATTCTTATTGGCTAGTCCAAATGGTTAGGGGTATCCTCTACATAGGTTTATCTATCAGAATATGTTAAGCCTACCATCTCTTTATTCTGAGAACTTCGCCTGTTCCTTTTAAAGAAAGGACTTAAAGCTGTGATGGCCACAAATGACATGGCATTGGAAGTGTTCATCTGTGTGCAGAGTGAGCCACCAGGATTTCTTCCAGTAATGTTACTTCATATCAGTGTTCCATGATGTGGTCCATCCATGTTCATAAGCTGACATGGTTATGGAAGTCAGTAAGGAGCCAACCAAACCTACAGGACATGCAAGAGCAGGTGCATATCAACATTGTATGCCAGTCGTATGTCATGCCAATTTTATATTTAGTTCTGATGTTCAGCAGCCTCATCTTTACTAGAAAGTTTAATCCTGGTGCCTTTCAACACTTAACAGTCTAGTCTGAACCTTTCAGTCCCTGTTTTTCATATCCAATCTATTTACTTTCTGGGGTAAGTCTATGCAGTTTATAAAAACAGATTATTACATATTACCAAAGATTACCGATGGTGTACCACAACATTGCATGTGGTAAGAACCTACACAAATGTGACAGAAACCTGGAGGCTGAAGGTCTACAAAGTGCTTGGAGAAGAATGAACCATTACCATTTGTATTTTTAAGCTGTAGGCATCATATATAGATTTTTACTGATACTCTCCATACTTTGGAAAAAGCATTGTAGAAATGAGGACACAGGAAAATAAAATTGAAGCCAAAGAAGAGAAGGAACACTTATTGGATAAGAAAATTCTGTTTCATTTTGATGAAGGGTTTCGAAGTCTTAAGGAAACCCCTCCACCCCCCACCTCCTATGTTATATTTATCTCTGTGCTTCTGAGGTAACCAAGAAAAGAAAATAAGAGGAGAGAACAGAGATATATTTTCTTTTCTCCTTGAAGTCTGTTTCTTGGACACGCATAAATGGCAGCACAGTGACCAAAAGAAACATCACATTTTAAGGGCAAGTGAATTTAAAAAGATAAATAGTTTCTTTCCCAAGATCTATATACAAGCTCATCAATATTGCAGTAGGTTTTTATAATAAGATATATTTAAAAATGAAAATTATTAAAACTGTGCAGTGGAAAATTTTGTGATTGCATACTGTTATGTTCTGAGACCTCATGGTACTTAAAATGTGCCTTCATGATTTTTTCTGCTTTGAGAGTATAGCTTACAACAGTATTATAATATTACACAATTAAAAGGATTTCATTTTTCATCATAAAAATAGCATTCATTTTGATGATCTGAATTCTATTGCAAGTTAGTTAACATTTTAAGTGATGTGTACTTCATGTGCCACTACTATATTTGTCAAGCCCCCATCCCTTGTTGATCCATTCAGCAATTATTTGGTAAATCTCTTTCAGGAACCTGACGTTTTGCTCAATGCTGGGAGTATAACACTGAATTAACAATTGTCCATCCTCTTCAAGTTTAGGGCTTAATAAGAGGTGCTTGTTGGGGTTGGGAAAGAGAAGAATTTGTCTCCCTACTTGTAGGGTTTACACACCTGTGAAGAGCAATCCCTGCCTTTGACAATTAAATCCAGACCAAACCCAGCCTTTCTAAAGGCTTTTTTCCTGGCTCACTTGAGATTAGTACGATTACCCTGGCTTTTGGGGGCCGCAGTAAAGACTATTCATGCCTCATTCTCCTGTACCTTCATTTTTTTAGCATAAATTCATCTCAAGCTTTGTTTCAATACCCAAATTGTTGAACTGAGGTTAGCCAATGATACAGCTAATATGTTAGTCCTCCAATTTTACTTTCCATCGTTAAAATTTGGCATGATTTTTCTCAAGATATAGTTGGAATATTATTTTCTTTCTCGTGCTCTGTTATTCCATTTTTCTCAAAATAAATTTAGATTAAAAAGGAGAAACTTGGCAAGTCTTCAACCGGAAAGCCTTTACCAAGTTTGAAAATTATTTTTTAGGGAAATTTTTTTTTCAATCAGGCCAAAAACACTTGTTCAGCCATCTAAGATTGATATGTAAAACACTTTTAGAAATATTTACATCTGTGTATATAAATAAAACCCTACAGTTCTTTGAGAGAGTAGTAAATATAAACTTAATAGTTGAAGAGAAAGTGTTCTAGTTTAAGAGTTTAATGCATTTTGTTCTGCTTATGTGGTCTTAATGCTTGAGCATTATGGTAGTTTGAAAAATTTGAAGTTCTTAATATTGTTTAAACATCTGCTTTGGAGGAAATGTATCCTTTCCTTTTCTAGATATAACATATATAAAATATCCCATCTGGGCGGAATGCCAGGGACACACCATGCTTAAGTAATAAGCCCAATTATCTTGCTAATAAACAGCAGCTAGAAATTGAACCCCTGTTGGCAATATATAGGATACTTAAACACTAAGTGGGATTAATTAAAATCCAAAATGAGTTACATTACAAACACATATAATAATAAATCATATACAAATATGAAGTAGGGCAATTATCTCATTTTCTTCTCTTTTTAGTTAATAAAGTTTATGTTTTTGAACTATTCTGAGAAGAGGGTTTCAGAATTAGTGGAGAGCTTACTTACTCAGAAGGAACTTTTGAGATAGAAATGTCAGATTCTAAACTGATAAAAAATGAATGTGATGATAATAAAGATTTCATATCCCAGTGCCAAGGGATATGAGTATGATATTCTCAAAATTGGTGCAGGCTTTAGGTACATAATTGCACTATTATGTGTTGAGTAAAATTTTGGGGGAATGCAGTAGAGGGAAGTTGTTACAGTTCAGAGTAAGCATATATAAGAATGAATTTATAATCAGTGCTAGAGGCCCAATGCATGGAATTTGTGTAAGAGTAGGCCTTCCTTCCCCTGGCTGCCAGCCAGCTTCCCTATGACACCCAGGACCTGGGTTCTCCTTGCAGCCCCAGCTTTGTGCGGAAGGTCATCCCGAAAGACATCTGGAATGACTCCGGTCTAATTAGTACATTACGTTTTTATTATTATAGATAATATATTTACTCAAATGTATTGCTGACTTTTCTACATTTTCTTTTCTAATTGTTTTAAAACAAACAGTTACAGAAGTCCAAACTTGTCCTTATGAAAAAAAGTAAGATTTTTTTTTTTATAAGTAAGTGACAACCAATTTTGTTTGAGGTCATTCTAGAATTTTGTCTGAGACTGTTTATTTGGATCTCCACTCTTTTCCCCACTCAATAATATATTTTAATGAAATAGAATTACAAACTGACACAAATGAACAAATAAAAGAATAACAACAATCAAGCTAGAAGTAAGTCATGACCTTATGTCATGCATTTCTTAAAAGGTGAGGCTTTTATCCATTTGGGCAGCTATAATGCAGTGCCACAGGCTGGTGATTGATTGCCATGGGCTGGGAGCAGGACCTAGAGGGAGTTATGGTTTGGTGGATCTAGAGTTACAGGATTTCAAGATGGAAAACTAGAGACGGGTTGCAAAGTTGTGTAAATATACTAACACTACTTAATTGTACACTTAAAAATAAGATGGTAAATTTAATGTGTGTATGTGTGTGTATGCACACACATACACACATATATATACACACATACACACACACACACACATATACACACACACACACACACATATATATATAACCATACACACACAAAACATAGCCAAACCAAGGGTTTTCTAAAATGTGGTGACAAACAGAAGTTATCAAACATCAGGGAACACTGTAGATGCTATACCTATGTTTTTTTTTTTCTCTGCGTAGGGAAAAAGAAGAGAGAGAAAGTTGGTAAGGAAAATTAGTCATAAAGATAACAAAACAGACCTCAGGGAATGGAGAACATGAAGTTTTTGTGTTTGTTGAAATTAAATACAAAATAATTCTTTTTTTTTCTCCTTCACTTTAAATAAGAAGTTTATTTAAACAACAAGACACTTGACTTGAAGGGAAAATTGGTATCTAGGATTCATTTTTTTTAGAGTAATTCATCCCTACTTAAAGACAGATTGCCCTACATGTAACAGCTATGTACAAAAAACGTTATAAAATTGTCCTAGGTTTTACAATGATCAATGAAAAACATTAACATTCTCCCATCAAACAGGGTATGCAAGAATTTTTATGTAGTTCTTTTTTTTTTTTTTTAAACAGTGAGAGCAAAATAACTTACTGGAATGTAAAGGTAAGAGCTGAATGAGCATGACACTAATGGAGAAAGGCGGTATTCTCACAGAACCAGTATTTTTCCCCATCCCCATAGCATTGGCCATTTAGTTTAAAAAAATGCAAATCCTTGTGCACATACCTCAGTTACTTCATGTACAATAAAGGGATGGGGAAGGGGGAAAGAAAGAAGAGAGAAAACTATACCGTAGTAGGCAGATGTGTTGAAACCAAATTGCAGTTTTCTAATTAAGAATGTCTTCTTGTCCTGGAGGAACAGAGTTCTGGAGTCAAGTAGCAGGTTCCCTTTTTAGTAGACACCTCCTGTCTGCTGCTGGAACACACCAATTGTATCTCCATCCTCCATTTCCCACTGCCGTTCACAATAGGCTTTCCTTAGGTTTCTAAGTGGTGTACGCCTCTTGATCTTAAACTGCACCACAGAACCATCCCGCCCCGCCACCTTCAAATTAACATGATCCTTGTTCTCAGTCTTGATTCCTTCCTTGGGCTTTTTGCTGGCCATGGCCAGTGCCAGAGTCTCCTCAGCTGCCGCTTCACAAAAGAGGAACCAGGTCTGCACCAAATGAGCACACCACAAAATAATTCTTTTAACAGAAATGTATGGTAAATCATAAGTAAAAAGGTATTAGCTATGTTAACTGATCTTACTGTGATAGTCATTTCATAACAAATAGATATCTAAAAATAAAGTAAAATAAAATAACATAATCATTAACTTTGGATGTGAAAAATAACAAGTGGAGATTGATAACATGAGAAGGAGAATATTTGTGTTAGGGGTACAAGGATCTCTCCAAGCCAGTGTGCCAACATAGGTTTTGTTTTATTTGTTTTCCAATGGTTGTGGCAAAGGTTAATTTATTTTAGGAGAATTACCCCCTGGGTATATCATAAGAATGCAGAAGTGACTTGTGAAAGAGAAGTAACAAGTTTTTTTTTGTTCGTTTGTGTGTTTTTTGTTGTTGTTTTTTTTGTTTTTTTTTTACCATTTGCAGATTATATATTAAGCTTTTTAAAACATTATCTCAGCCCTAACCTGTTTGGCTCAGTGGATAGAGCATCGGTCTGTGGACTGAAAGGCCCCAGGTTCGATTCCGGTCAAGGGCATGTACCTTGGTTGTGGGCACATCCCCAGTAGGTGTGTGCAGGAGGCAGCTGATAGAAGTTTCCCATCGATGTTTCTGACTCTCTATCCCTCTCTCTTCCTCTCTGTAGAAAATCAACAAAATATATTTAATAAAAAAAGGTATTGCTTTTTTTTAATGGTTTTTGAAACAGCTAATGCTACATTTCTATATAAATTAATGCATTTTAATTATTGCATGTACCTAATCTGAAATATTTATATGTTCTTATATTTTTTTTATCATATTATTTACTATTTGGTATTGCATTTGCGAAACAAGTCAGAATAGTGTTGAATAAAAAATAATATGATCTTTCTCTTTTCCATCATTTTAGTTTCAGTTGTATACATGCATATAAGTACAACCAATGGACACAAAACTCTGGGAAGGGAGGGTTATGCATGGGAGGGAGGGCAATGTTAAAATATGTACACAGATAATAATTTAATAAAAAAATAAAAATAAAATTTATATATTCTATTTGTTTTGCATGAATACTTTTAATTATACACAATTTCTATTTTTAGTTAAATCGGTTATAAATGCTGAATTTTATAAATTATTTAACTCTTTAAAAAATTGCCAGACATTTTCTCCTTTAGTTTATGAACATAATTGACTATATTTTTGATTTCCTAATGTGGACTCATTCTTCCTTTCCTGGAGCAAATATTTTTTTCATTGTATATTATTTTATAATTTAGTATTCAATTTACTTACTATATTTCTATATAATTTTCATCCATACTTCTATACTAAAGCAATATATTGCTTATATTATTTCATTTTTGTCATATTGTGATACTGAAGTTTCCTAAGTCTTAGAGTATGATTTGAGATACTTTCTATCTTTTAATATGATCTTAATCACAATGCTTACCATTTATGAGTCTTAATAATTTGAGTAAGCATTTATACAAAAGGCAAAGTGAATTCAATAACAATAATTAGAAAAGTAATTAACTGTGGTTCTGTTTTTTTTTTATTATTCTAAACATTAATTTCTTCGCCCTTTTAATTAAGCTCCTATTGTCATTACAGCGATTGATATGTAATAGTAAATACTATTGTATTTACTTTTACTTTTAATCTTTTACTTTTAATTTCTCATGTATTATAGACATGTAAGGTCATGTTTTTCCTGTGGTCAGCATTGGTGGCCTATTAAGTTTACCATTGACAACTGAACTTTAAAAGGACTTTTACTCATGATTTTGGTAACTGGTGTTGACTACTAAAAAAATTACCCCTATTTGTGTTCAGGTGTGAAGCTTTTCTCTTCCTGGTGTCTTTCCTGGCTCTGGTGTGCATCTCTGTATTCTCAGCTCCTAACAACATGATCTGTACACAACAGGAAATCAATAGGTTTTTTTATGCTCACATTCATATATACTAAATTACACTGGTCATTAAAGCTATTTGATAACAAAGGGGGGGGGGGAAGAAACTTGAATACAAAAAAATCGAAATTCAAAAAATTCACTACCTATATTTAAAAATAAAAAGCATACCCAATTTCTAGTTTTATTTCTGACATTCAAAGAACTTAGAAGTTTCTATTTCCATCCTCACAAGAAAAAAAAAGCTGAAAATCAGTGATTTTCCTTAGATCCATCAGAGGATCGATGTCAAAGGGCAGACTGCTATCCCCAAACCTGGAGAGACAGGCGAATGCTGAGTATCAGTGCCAAGATTAGTTTACACAGAGCAGGAGGCACTGGGCACTTAGACAGAAACTGACAAATGGATGAAGGCTGAGCTTGGACTAGGTAAAGAGTTAAAAACACTTGGGGACCCAGAAATAAGGCAGAGGGCTTTTACCTTCAGTCACCCAACCCACTTCTTGTGGTGAAGAAATGAGGAAAAGACCCTTCCATTTTAGGAACAAGGGGAAACCAGGAACTGTTCCGATACATTCCCAAGGAAAATTTTGTCATTTTGAAATATGGGCAGAACATACTCAACAAAGCCCTGCTTCTGAGAGAAATGGAGTCTCCAGAGCGCCCTCTGACTTGGGAGGAAAGCACTGCATCAGCACAGAAAGGGGCTGTAGCCTCCATAATGAACAGAAAGAAAAAAATCTACAGACTATAGAAAAAATGAAATGCGAAATAAAGCAAAATGTCATCACAAAAAGATTAAGCACAAAAGAAGGTAGTAATGGAGCAAATGAGGATACAAAACTATGAGACATAGACAACATGGCAATGGTAAGCCTCCCTACCCTCCTGTATCAGCAAATAATTCAAATATTAATAGAATAAATTTTACAAATTAGAAGAATATTTTTTTAAAAGATCCAACTATGAGCTGTCTACAAGAGACTTGCTTTCCCCCATTTTATTTATTATCTCAAAAAATCTTTATTGTTGAAAATATTACATATATCCATCCCCTCTTTGGCCCCATTGACCCCTTCTAACCTACCCCACCCACCACCCCAGGGATTTTGATTTAAGGACATACATAGCTTATAAATGAAAGAATGAAGAAGATATGCTATGCAACCAGTAGAAAGAAAATAATGATGACTATATCACTATCTGAAAAAAAAACAGACAAAGGCCATCCTTATAGTGATAAATAATGTCAATTTACTAAGAAAATAACACCAATTTACTTATAAAACACATTCTATGTATGTAATAGCCCAAAGGAGAACAAGGATGGCTATACCAATATCTGACAAAATAGATTTTAATTCAAAAACACTTCCAAGAAACCAAGAAGGACATTTATATATTGATAAAATGGGTCAGTTTACCAACAACTTATAACAAGTCATAAACATGTATGCAGCAAACATCTGAGCTTCTAAATACATGAAGCAAAAATAGAATTAAACACAGAAATACCTCTACAATAATAGTAGGGAACATCAACACCACACTTATACTAGTGGGAAGAAAACTGAGACAGAAGATCAATAAAGAAACAGAGGCATGAACAACATTATGGCCAATTGGACCTAACAGATGGATAAGAAACACTCCAACTATAAATATTTCACAAGTGTACACACAGCATTCTTCAGGATGGATCATCTGTTAGGCAACAAACCAGTCAATAAATCTAAAAAAAAAATGGAAATCAAACAAAGTATCATTTTCGTTGTAGTAAAATGGAACTAGAAATCATTAACAGAACAAGAACAGTACCACCTCACACCTTCCAGAATGGCTACTATCAATAAGACAACAAACAACAACTGCTGGTGAGGATGTAGAAAAAAAGGAACCCTAGTACACTGCTGGTGGGCATACAGCCACTGTGGAAAACAGTGTGTAATTTTCTCAGAAAATTAAAAATGGACCTGCCATTTGACTCAGTGATCCCACTTCTGGGAATATATCCTAAGAAGCCTGAAACAACAGTCAGGAAGAATATGTGGAAAACCGTCGTAAACAACCAGTAGTTCAAACTACAAATTACAAGGGAACTTTAAAAATATTTTTAGTCAAGTGAAAATAAAAACACAAACACAAGACACCAAAACAACGTATGAGATGCCACAAGAGCAGTGTTTAGAGGAAGCAATTGTTTAATGGGTACAAAGTTTCTGTTGGGGAAGATGAAAACTTTCTGGTGTTGAATGGTAGTGATGATTGTATAATAAAGTGAGTATATTTAATGCCAATGAACTATACATGTAACAGTGGTTAAAATGGTAAATGTTATGTTATGTATGTTTTACTACAATTAAATTTGTTTTCTGAATTATAAAAAGGACAGAAGAAAAGACAGATTTGAGATCACAAACCAAGATTAAACCCACTAAGAAACTGAGATTTATTCCTCGATTATAAAGGGATTTCCTTCTTTCATATCTTACCCCCACATTAACATAGCTCAATAAAATGACAATAAATTAAAACAAAGAGAAGAGCAAGATACAGACTCTATTTAAGAAGAATTTCTTAGGGAAACCTAAAGAAAGCAAGGGGAAAAAACAGAAACTAGAATAAAGGATTCTCTTATACTTACAAGTAAGCTAACACAAAACATAGGCAACACCTATTCAGATTAGCATAACACATCACAAAGACTATCTCAGTTCTTACCACTAGTACATCATCCTGGGCATCTGGCAAAAAGTTACAAGGCATGCTAAAAAAGGAAGAAAAGAAAAACCATAGTCTGGAGAAACAAAGAAAACAACAGATTCAGATATGGGACAGTTTGTGGAATTATCAGGTATTGAATTTAAAATAATATGATTAATATGTTAAGATCTATAATGGAAAAAAGCAGATAGCATGAAAAACATGGACAATATAAGCTGAGAAATGAAAAGTCAAAGAGACATAAAGAAATCCTGAATAATGAAAGCATAATATGCTAAGTGTTCATTTGTCAGGTCATCTGTTCAACCAAGTAAAGCATAATATGCTAATGATATGCTAAGACCTTTTCAACCACTCTCTATGACGTGCACTGAC